ATAAAGACCAAAAAATAGATAGAGGGCGACAAATTACCTAAATAATTATATAATAAATAATATTATTGTGAAAAAAAAAATTTAAAACTCTTTATAAATTATTATGATCAATTAAAATATCCCACATAGCTCATTTTGAGTTTTTGGTTTGAAGCTTTGACTATTAACTAAAAGGTATTGATCGAATTCGAAGCTTATATATGTGATGTATGTATAAATTTACATACATGAATCAAATGTCCTATAAAAATTTATAATATCCGTCTCCCTCTCCCACTCTCTCTTTGCATAGAGAAATTATTTTGTGTTCGTCCAGATATGTGAGTGCGCATACTATTTACTATGTATAAATTCATACATGGGTATTAATTTTTTGTACACACTATTTACATATAACGTATGCACTTACAGTCCGAACAATTCTTTCCATATGAAATTTACACCTAATAATTTCTCCTTTATATATATGCATATTTCCTGCAATGTTTTCTTCATCATTTTGTCACTTATAATAACAGCCCATCATCACTACCAAATCCTCTTGCTTCCAACTCCAATAATATAAATTTATATATAGAACCCTCACCCTATATTTTTCTTCACACAATCGACAGGACATCGGCTTCAGCATCATTGCCTGACAAATTTATTTATGATCTAGTTGTTATCATTATTATTATTTTCATCAATTTTCGTGCAGTCTTGTTCTTTTGTGAAGGCAATATATATATCAAGTGGCCCTTCAAGATCCAAATTACCTCCTGTCATAGCTTGGACTAATTATTGTGTTTGAACACCGAATGCGTCTAGAGATCAATAACAAAGCGTCACATCACCCGAGTGCTCGGTACCGAGCACTCAGAATTGCTCGGTATTTGTCCGGATTTCCGATTTTTTATCCGGACGTAATAATTTTTCCATAGCTTGGCCTTCTATAGGTTTGCTGTGGGGGCCTTTACCAATCCAAAGCCTGATTGTGGTGGGTTGTGAGTCTCCATGATGATGTCTAATTAGTACAATATGAACGTTGATAAAATCTTTCTTTTTTCATTAATAATATTTAACAATGATATTGACATATATTATCACCTTAGTATATGGAAATCTGATTTGGATTCTTCATTTGATCACATATCATATGCTTTTGTGCAAAGAAGATAGGCCCCTTTATCTATGAAAACTTCATCTGCCCAACTACTCTTTATATTTAACAACGCATGCATTTCAGTTTGTCTTTTTTCATGGATAGAATGATAGGAAAGTGTCAAGGCATAAACAGTTAGCTACTATTAAAAATTATGTCAGAGGCAGCATCATCACAATTACACCTTTTTTTTTTTAGACATTTAGGCTTATTTTAGGGACAAATTATTCTATGCGGGCATCGAATATAGTTCTGTGTCCGGAGGCGAATCATAGCGCGCCACATCACCTGATACATAGCCACGATACACTACAATGAGATGATGTGGCGTGCTCTGATTTGCCCCCGGACAACATCTGGTGTCCACGCAGAATAATTAATCTAAAGCTGCTTTCAAGCTGCCTTAAGAAGCAGTAAGAAAACAGTTCCAAATGAAGCCTTATGCCGATTAAGGCAAACTCATTCACACATTACAGACGTAAGACTCAAACCTAAGACTTCTTGATTGATAATCAAAGCTCTCAACCAACAGATTAAGATGAGCTACGTTCATCACAACTACACTTGTAACATGTATGTGTTAAGGAAAATTTGTTTGGTTGAAATTTAATTTGAATATAAATATTATATATTGATGGATGGGTCAAGATTCAACTTATTACATTTAAGGATTTGAATGAGATACATATTTAAAATAATAATAATAATAAATGTTTTATTTTTGGGTGGTGGCAAAGAAAATATTTATTATATTGTAGGAAGCATTGATTATGATAATGATGTGAAGGTGATAAATCATTGTTGGTTATAAGAAAAGAAATGGGTATATCAAGACAGAGATCATGATTTAGCCCTATTTGAAACTAAATATAGGCATTCTTTATATCATTAATCATTTCATTTGCCTCAACAAACAGCAACTCTATCGACAATAGATTCACTTACAAAAAAGTTTTGATAACCAAAGAGTCAATTTTTGAAATTATTGATTTAGATGTTTTGAGATCTAACAATTATCTGAAGATTTGTGTTCTATCATATGATATTCATTCGTAGAAAAATAAGTTTTTACGTTATTTTTTCTATGCTATTATAGTAGTTATAGCCGCTACAAAAAATCTAAAAACAACTCTAAGATCGCTACAAGATGATCGTGCTTGGTGTTTGTTACAAAGTCCTTTCACAGTGGTTTTAAAACTGATGGGGAAGAAAATTGCAACGGTAGCTTTTGCAGCAGTTTAAACTACCTCAATATATACAAATTTTTGGTGGTCTAAATCATTGCAATTATTACAAAATTGTCGGCTAGGGCTTGATTTGAAATTTAAATAAAATAAACTGCAACTAGCAATTTAAAAAGCTTTTTTTTTTTTCTTTTGTGGTGGTTTTAATCACTACTAACCTCAACGATTAAAATCGCTACTATACTGATATAGAATTACAGCTAACATGTACTTGTAAAGAGCTTTTTACTCTTTATACTGATATAGAAATATTCTTTCTTATCTTCCTCATCTTTCTTCTTCATGTTGTCATTCTTAAAGGTTGAATGCGGCAATCTGGTACATGAGCCGACAAACTACTGGGCTGCAATGGATATCACAATTGGAACACATTTTCGAAAGCTCAATTCACTAGTTAATAACTTGGTTGTCAACCTTCAAAGATTCAATCAAGTGATGTGTCAAAACACTAATCAGTCAAGATAGCAGGCGAGACTCCACTGGCATAACTTGGTTGTCAACCTTTAATATGATACAACCAAACTTAGCAAAGGGGAAGAAGAAGACGAGGTATTTCACACATAACTGTAAGGACATTTACATCTTCCTCTCAGGTTGGACTGTTGGACCAGTGAGAAGCAGACGAACGTGAAAATCTTCCTTTGGACAAGAAAAGCAACCACGAGATGCAAAACTTTTAAGAATAGAGCTTGACCTTGTTGCCCCAAGCCACATCCCCATTGATTTTTCTAACATACAACAACGAAAACATTATCCCAAGCACACCCTAACATATTTTCTTCCTTCATATTACGAACAACTATTGTATATACAATACTAGTGTTGTACCCAAAAAAATATGTTAGTGTGTGCCTATGCAAAGGGATGTTATTGACTTGATGCACGCACTTACTTGAATGAATTTTCTCAACATTCGGTCATATGCTACATTGGAGGACTAAAGGACTTGATTCAAGATTGACTAGAGTTGAATTGAATTTGATCTTTTTTTCTTAAGCATAAAACTAAGCTTTAGTTGAATAACTAATTATGGAGTGCCTCTTTTCACCGCCCTTTTATAGACTCATATAATGAGCTATCCAAGAGTGTAATGCACGCTCCATCAAGACATCATTAATATCTAATAAGTGCAACTAAAGCCGGCAAATATTTCATGCACAATAATTCCATCAAGACATCTAAAATAGTGTTAAAAAATAATAATTTACTATATTATAATAATCCAATCATTATAGCACAAAATGAAAGTGTTCGGCTGTTTTTCTTTAAAAAAAAAATTATAATAATTTGACCGGCAGGCAATACTTTATGTGTTTATTCTAAAATATTTAACACAAAAGCAACAAATTTTGTTAAATTATATTGACGTTAAAGAATGTTTTTCTTCTTCATCAATATGGGCCTTTGATATGCTTTTACAATTGGACCATTTCTCTATAGCTTCAAGCGGCTCCAATCTGTTACGGGCCAAATTAGTGTCATGGGCCAGTCTATGGAATGCAGATTGGGCCGATTGGCTGTTCATTTTTCTTAAACTTCGGCTTCATTTTGTACAAAATAGAAGCTGAAATGGTTTATGATCTGGATTTGGGAGATAAAACTTTATCTTATTGAATATGATAGTATAGAAAACTTAGTAGGGTTGGGGATTAAAAATAGGCTACAAAAAGCTTGTTTTTAATCTAAATTTTAAGATTTTAAGTGAAGGATAATTATTTAACATTTTTATAATAATTATTTAAGTACTTAATATTATTAAAAAGGCTCTATATCATAGGAAAACATTATATAAATTACATGCTCTTGAACTTACTCAACAATGAAAAAAGCCAAAAACTCATAGAAACAACCAAACATAAAAACCATTCAAAATGATAATTAACATTACATCAAAAGCATTTGTGCTAATTTTCTCTTAACATTGTTGTGCTAATGATAAGAGATTGCACATGGTTTCATGAGTTTCTAAAAGCTATCCAAGAACACAAGGGTGATATAGGGTTTCACTCCTTTCATACCTTATTTAAAAGTTTTTCTATTATATTAATTTGGAGTTTGCTACATGACTCCCATTGCAAGCTAATTCAATGTCAATTGTGTTGTCCATCTAAAAGCCTTAGTCCCCCGTTTTTCTTTGAAAAACCTTTATAAGATTATGTCTTCTATGAGAAGGCACATATATTATTGGAGATAGCTCTACACTTGCTCCAATTTTAGGACTCTTAAGACCTCTCTATCTGAACTGCATACGGTGGTATGTCACCTATCATTCGCTCCATTTGAATGATAAATCGCATGCAAAATTTGGTAGGTGAATAATGTGATGTCAATATTGGCGCTGCACTGTTCACCTACGCCAATTTTTTGTGTTATAAGATTTGCTGAAGAAATGCACGAAATATGAGAAAGATGATTACCTTAGCAGCGAGATGAAGAAGCATGTGAAAGAGGAGGAAGAAATGGAGTTCAATTGAAAATGAATTATTACATTTTGAATATTATATTTGAATTCCTGTTGAATGTAAATATAAAGACTTTCAAGATATTAGCTTGCATTCATGTAAATATTAAGACTTTCAAGATCCTACAGTTAAGCAAGAAAACACAGGTAATAGAACCGAAAGTAAGGTTTCATTTTGATTGCCAAGCTTTAATATATAAATATATTCAATGGGGTCAAACATCAAACACATTACTTGCAAAATTGTCCCACTGAATCATCTTTCACTTAATCACATTCACACCCCGGTTGATCCAAATCCACCAGATCCACGAATGGTAGAATCAAGTTCATCGATCTCAACAACATCTGGAGTTATGATCTTCTGAATGATCAACTGAGCAATGCGATCACCGGGCTTTACGTCAAAATCCAAATCCGCATGGTTGAACAGTATAACACCAATAGGTCCTCTGTAATCGGCGTCAATAACACCAGCTCCCACGTCGATGGAATGCTTCCATGTCAGTCCTGATCTCGGAGCTGAAGAAAAAGAACGATTTTTTTTTAAAACAAGCATTTCATCAAATACCTTGAGGTCAACATAATCAGTGGGAAACAAAGTTTGATTTGTATTTGGAGCGAAAATTAAAATAGGAAACAAAGTGATTAGAAAGAGATCAAATATATCTTTTTTTATTTGTAACTAAAAGTCGGAGAAGATTAAGGTAAAATGCAGAAATAAGTACATATCCAAATTCAAATAAAATATATTTTAATTGATAAATCGATAAAGCAATCTTATTAACTGCCTAAGAATGGAGATATTCAAAAAAGACCATATTTCACTTTGCAATTTCGCCTTTATTTGGGAAAAAAACGAAGATGGAACTATAACTTCAAGCACAATCACTACGATGCGAGTATTTCAAAAATCTCATCCTTGTTGTGTTAAATTTAAACGGATCTTATGCTTTAAAGTAAATATTCCTGTAAGCTTTCATCTACAATATATCCCCCGAGCATAACGAGAAATCGCGTTTTTTATTTTCTTTTTCCCCCTCAATCAAATACTTGAAATGCTAACCGATTCGAGCATAAGTATCTTCTGGAATAGCAATGCTGAGATCAGTCGGAATAAGGGCCTTCCCTCTGGCTGGAACTTTGACCTCTGCTGCACTGAAGCAAAGCAAACAAATTATAGCACTATAATAAACGGCCGCTCCTATTTTTGAAAAAGAGAAAAGTAAAAAGAGGAGAACGTATTTACCTGGAGAGATCATATCCAGCAGAAAGAGAAGATCCTCTTGAAGGCAATATAGCATTGGTAGAGAGCTTCTTCACCTTGAGAAAGGTGAGACTACGATGTGCTTCTTCGGAGAGTTTGGGGATTTTAGGAGAAGGTTCAAGCAAGTCGCCGTTTTCTGCCATGGCTGCTCGAAAATGGAAGGCGGAAGCGAAAAGAAGTGAAACGGGTTTGGCTTTTGGAGGCAAATCCCAAAAATTGAAGAGAAATGAATTGTTTTTAAAGGAGGTGAAGAGCGCGAAATTAAAAACGGCCATTGACTAGCTTCAGTTTCTTCTAGGGTTTTTTGGTTCCGCGGGAGGGAGCGGGAATTTCATGAGCATCACAAAATATTAAGATATTGAGTTTGCACCTCTAACATATAAATTTGGCAAAATTAAAAAAAAAGGATTATTTGTTAAAATTATTTTAAAGAGTGTATTTAAAAAAGAATAAAATTATTGAATGATTTTAGATATTCTTAATATGTCAAATAATTTGTCAAATTCTACTGGTAAGATTTGAGGTATTAATCTAAAATAATATAAATGAGGAGAGAGAGACATAGAGGATAGATTATTATGTGTGATGTTCGAATACATTCAGATTGGCAATGTACTGTGCATTGGGTGACCTGGCGAGTCAGGATTGACCTTCCGACACGTCCGAATGCCGCACATAATAATTTTTTGACGAGGGAGAAAAACTTAGGGAAAGAGAGAAAGAAGTAAAGAGGGTCGAAGAGAGGTTTTTTTTTGCATTTTTAAATAATTCTAAAAACATTTATATAAAATTTTATTAAATATAAATAAATAGTTACAACTAAATAATAAATATTAAAAAAAATTAAATTAATTTAAGTTTTTTAAGGAATTAAATTAAATTAAATTAAAATAAATTTTAAAATGATATTTGAAAATGAAATTTGAGATTAATTTAATATTTTGAAATTAAAATTTCATTCTAATAAATTTTGGATAAAATTATATTTGAATATTAATATTAGTTTTAATTTAATTAAATTTATTTCCGAAAGAGTAAAGATATTTAATATTTATAACTATTTTATTTTTATTAAATATTCTTTAAAATTATTTTTAAAAAAGCAAAAAATATATTTTTTTTCTCTCCCGCCCTCTTTCCTTCTCTCTTTCCCGCCGTTTCTCTATCCCCATTCTCTATCTCTATCTCTTTCTCTCTCTTCACATTTATATTATTTTATTTATTTTAGCTGATTAGGCCTACGGTGTAGAGCATGCGCCAAATCCTCATTTAAACTATTTTTTAAATACATTCGTTAAGCTAATTTTAACAAATAATATATTTCTTTTTAAAAATTGGCCTATAAATTTGTATATTTATTTATATAACATTTAAATATTAAATTATACTATATTTATTATTATTATTAATTTATTTAAATTTGTGAATATCTACTTTTGTTGCGTCCAGGAGTATTCGCGGCGGTAGAGAAATATAAAGTTTATCGTCTTAGCGTTGTA